TGACATTTTTTTATCATGGTCTGTATGTTGAATTAACGTCATGGCTTCACCCAATATTCAACATGTTTGGTTACCATGGTATCGGAGGACTCGGCGCACGCGGCCACGCGCAGCGCTTCACTTCACTTAATTACGAACACCTGACCTGCAGTGCAGCAGAATTCAGAGGTAAGCGTGTTTTTAGATGCTTTAATGTTTTATTTACCCCCCGATTTTGTTTTACACACAGTGTATCTTAAATGTGACTTGGTGTAGTGTTTCGAATTTTGAAGCATTTAAAACTTTCCAGTTTGTTTTTAGTCTTGTTTGCGCTCCGGTGACGCAGCTAACCTCAAGGTAATGTCAAATGTTTAACGTTAGTCTAAATGAGCGTTTTTATGGCAAATTCAAAGCGATAAACTCCAAACGCAGTTTAAAGTTACTGAGCAACGTTATAAAACAATATCCATTTTATACGCTGTATTATTAGTGTTATTATTACAAAGTGAACTGCTGTCGTTTCACTGTTGTTGTTGTTTTTGCTTTTAGACATGTAACTTACTCCAGAGACGCACTAACTTGCACAGCATTAAATGGAAAAGGCTTTGTCCATGTAAGTTTACTTTACCTTTAACAAAGCTATCTGTTAAATCTTCTTGGTGCTTTGGTTGGTGATTTTCTCTTTCTAATCTGTTTGTTTATTGATTGTTAGGCCATGTTGTGATATTATATTGTTATATTGATATTATTATTGTGAAATCATGTTGTGATGTTATACAATGTGACAGTATTGGGGAACAAATATGTATTTAGTGAGAAATTAATGCTTAAATTACACTTTGTATAGTAGCAGATAAAAGGTGTAATGGGTTTTAACTTTCTGATTTTTCTGGAAGGTCCAGTTGAGGGGCATCAAGAACACGCAGATAGCCTACCTGTGTCAGCCTGGACAGACTGCAGTTCTGCTACTCCATGCCAAGGCTTTTGTATGGATGTCTTGACTACTACTGTGTTCTCTAAAGGTATTACTGGAGCAAAACAACAACACCCGTTACAGTAAAATTTGTATTAAAAAAAATAGTGATACATGTGTAGCAGGTCCAGTACATGTGATGTCATTAAGAAGTTGTTTTTATTAAATGTCATTAAAACAAATAAATAAACATGCTATTTAAATAAATCTAAATATTAAAAACTTGAGGATTAAGATGACAAATGAAATGCATCATCTGTCTTGCGAAAAGGGTCTACTTAAGAATTCTGGTCTTTTCCAACTTAAAGGGATAGTTCACCCAAGAATGAAAATTTACTCACATTTTACTCCCCAAATGGTTTAAAACCATTATGAGTTTATTTTGTTGAACACAAAAGAGGCTATTCTGAAAAAAAAAAAACTAAAAACCTGTAAACATTGACCTCCATAGTAGAAAAAAATACTATAGAAGTCAATGGTTGAATAGATTTGCAGCTTTCTTCAAAATATCTTCTTTTGTGTTCAACGTGGTCAGTAAATGACGACAGAATACAAATTTTGAACTATCCCTTTAATTCTCTGTCCTACATGCAGACTTTTGCAGAAGTGCTACTCCTTCTAGAGTTTTTCTCAACCATGTCTAAAAAGCTTTAAACAGCTTTTACAGTACATATAATGGTTTACAACAACTTGTAATTATTAGATGTGTTGAATGTTTCATGATTCTTTACTGCAGCCTTGGTTAAAAAAATAAATAAAAGCAATTTTTTCGAGAATCTGAAATTTGAATTCTGGAAATGCTGGCACCGGTGGTAGCGAAGGGCTTCCTGACGATATCACACCTAATTCTTCACTTCTCTTAGTTAGGAATATTCAGATGGATGACTCAAAATTATTGAGTGTGGCGATATTATAGGACTAATTTGGATTCAATAAAAAAATAAATATTTGAATTTCACTTTGTATAATAGCTGATACCAACTTAGTTGTAACCTTGTATTTCATTTATTGCAGGTTTTCTGGAGGCTCCATTTGAGGGCATCAAGGACATACTGATGGCCTAAACCAGTGTCAGCCTAGACAGACAGGCATCTATTGCAGTTCTGCTACACAAGACCAAACTCTCTGCTTTTGTATGGATGTCTGACTAGTACGGTGTTCTCTAAAGGTATAACTGGAGCAAAACAATAGCATCCGTTACAGTGAAATTTGTGTTCATAAAAGATAGTGATATGTGTAACAGGTCCAGTACATTTGTCATAAAGGTAAAATCACAGTAAGTACTGTAAAAATAACTTGTTTGCCTTTGCCACAACAGGTCATGGTGTGTGCTTACTGCTCGTAGTAAACACACGCTGATCTGATGAGGGAGAGATATACGCAAACACAATTGTATTTAATGTTTTGTTTTGCCTCACTAAAGTGTTGTTGGAGCTTGGTATGTTCACAGTTGAAATCACTGAAGTCACATGGAACGTTTTGACAATGTGTTTTGTGCCTTATCTTGACAATGACCATCTTGGGACCATTGCTGTCTGTAGAGGATGAGGAGCATTTAATCTAAAATATTTTAGTTTGTGTTCTAAAGATTAACAGGACTTGTGGGATGACACAAGTAATTAATTACAGAACCTATATGAACACTTAATGTGACATGTAATAGTGAAATAGTGGTCCTACATTCACAAATGTGAGCCATTATTATAAGACCCATGTGAACATGCAATTTTTATGATACTAATAATAATAATGGAATAACAAATTGCTTTTACTGTTGTGTTTGTGAGAGAGAATCAAACCATATATTCTACACATTTTCTTGATGATTTACTGAAATATTTGTCTATGTTCCACTGTCACAGGTGCTCAGTTTTGCTGCAGTAATGCTAAACACAATAGATGTACTTTATACAAAAAAAAAAAAAAAAAAAAAAAAAAACTAAATATTTAGCATGCAGACCTGCAAAGTGAAGGAGTAATGTCAGGTTAAGATTATAGCATGAGTTTTCACTATTGTGAATGTGAAGCCATTCATTCACAATGAATTGGAATAGCAAACCTCATTATTAATTTTGTAGGAAACTCACCTGGTGTTTGAGAAATAAATATGTATTTAACTGCTAGACTGATATAGATGTTTTAGTGTTTTACACTTGATTCTTTGTCCCCAGTGCCATCTTTTACCTCTATCTGTTTCTATCAATCTATAAAACCTCAAACAGATGTAATGTATTTCACTTGTGATTCTTAGTTGTGAGTGATGTTTTTTATTTTATTTTTTTACTGCAGCCACTTTAAAAATGGGTATTTTGTAAACTTTGTAAACAGAATTGAAGCATAGTTTAGTTACTTAGTTTAATTTAGTTAGTATCTGTCTTTCTGAAGACGGTAACACTTTACAATAAGGTTGTATTAGTAAGTGTTAATGTATTTACTAACATGAACAAAGAGCAATGAAGCATCTTTCATATAAAGAAAGTACAGTTTATGTCAGCTCAGTGCATTAATGTTAACAAGCATACATTTTGATTTTAATAGCATCAGGACATATTTCAATTAATTAAATGATTAATAAATGCTGTACAAGTATTTGTTCTTTGTTCATGTTAGTAAACATTAACTTTAATTCATGAAACCTAATTAAAAAGTGACTATTTAATTGTATGCCTTTTTTCTGTATTTGAGTGTACAGCATGTATAGTAACCTGCATGGTTTTAATGAACTATGTATGCTGTAAATGTTGCTGTATATTTAGAATAATTGAAATAATGAGGTGTGAATTAAATAAATTGATACACAGACTAAGTTGTGTATTTGTGTCGTGTATTTTTAATTAGTAAAAATTTGTTTGCTATTTTTATGGACTTTGCGTTGTATGTAATTCCTATTTAACTTACGTTGAAATGTATGACGGTGAAACAACGTCACGGTATCAACGTTGATCCAATTTGCAAAATCGAAAGGTAATTCAACCTTCATTCAACGTCTACAAAACGACCACAATTCACCCATGAAGAAGGTAAGAGTGAAACAACGTTGTGATTTCAACGGTGAATCACCGGTGGTGGTCCGACGGTGAAACAACGTCACTATATAAACGTTGATCCAATTTGCAAAATCGAAAGGTAATTCAACGTTGATCCAACCATAGACCTGACGTTGATTCAACGTTGAATCACCGTTGAAATGCCGGCTGGGATATATCAAAATCTCTTTTTAATAAATATTTTTTGTTTCATGGTAACTTCTGTGATCTTTTTCATATCAGTCAAACATCGTACAGCATTATACAGTGACAAACCAAAGACAAACTAATGACAAATTAAAAACACTCACCTCCTCTTTCTTCAACCATGTGGGACATGGACAATCTCCTCCAACCTGCAATAAAAAAAATATAATAAAAAAAGCAGATAAAATAGGAAAATACATTTAAAACAAAGTAAATAAATAAAAATGTTAATAAAGGAAATAATTAAATAAAAGGAAGTAAATAAATAAAAGGAAAAATGAAGTGAAAAGCACAACACAACAAATGTTTAATGAAATAATCAGAAAACAAGAACGGAATAAAAACTGATTAAAGATGTGCTCTTTATAATTAGTCTTCTCTAGGAAATCCTCGAACAGCTTCAGAAATCTCAGGATTCGCACAGAAATACTCTGCAAAAGTCGCCTCGTCTCTCAGACAACAGATTGCGATGGGTTTGGGTTGTTTTTTTGTGCAGACAGAACTTATATCATAACACGATCAACGAACTTCACCGATCAAAGCGCCATCTTGGATCCTCCCGCGGCCTGCGCCCCCCTCCCTCTCCCCCACCACCGATGACGAATAAAAAGAACGAATTCGATTGCCGTTACGTCACTGGTCAGAATTCAGAATTTACTCAGAGTGACAAACGAACGAGTACAGTGAACATTGATTTAACGACTTTAGCGACTTGTTTTGCATCTCAAATGGCAAATAACACGTCAGCTGCGTTTTTTAATCGAGTTAATACGATCACGACTGAGTTTGTCAACGAAAATCATCAAAGTGACACGATGGCTTCTCCTTCACCTTCTACCGTGATGAGAAGCCCAACAGGTGAGATGAGAGTTTACAAAAACTGTGTATTCCCACGTATTATTTAATAATACAGTAAATTATGAAGTAAAATGTAAAATAATAATAATATATCGCCATGTAAGGTTATTAGTGTAGCAAATATGCAACGTCTCTTCATTGTAATGTTTTTTTGTGTGTGTAGTTATGGTTTTGTATATTTTTGTGATAGAGCCCTGCTCTTATATGTAATGACATTCTGGTTTTTAAGTTTCTCCTTTCCACTCAACAGAAATTGTGCCTTGTTAATGTATCTGATAAAAAATCATTTTAATTTTACTTTAATTTAAATCCTTTGTGTAGATCTGCACTGTAATTTTCTTAGTTTTTGATGGTGTGGAGGAATATTTGTTATATTTTAGCAAACTGAGTGAGAATATTATATTTAAGTCTTTATTTGTTCAAGCAGGGATGAATTAATACAATTGAGGTAAAGTTGGTTTTATATTCTCACATTCTGACTTTCTCCTTAATAATAATATAACAGAAAAATATTTTTGCTAAATAGTTGCTTTTAGGATTTTTCCTGATGTCTAATATGGTCTTATGACTTACCGACTATTTTTCAGCTTGTGTTTGTCATTTTACATCATAGAAATGATTTGCAACTCCACATAATTAATTTTAGTTTTCAAACATTTTCTATTATAGTTATACATTTATTATTGTTGTTTCTTTTGTGTGATTGCCTTTTATATGTCTAATTTACAGCACGTTGTCTATTTTAAACCTGTGATTATAGAGTTTTCTAATATTTCCCTGTTCATTTTCTTTATTTCAGAAAACACAGAGAAAAGGAGGAAAGGGAATAAAGCCTCTGCTTTCTTTAAGAGAGCATGGAAGGCTGTGAAGCGCCCTTTCCTTTGCTGTGACCGGAACAGAGTGGTTCCCTTTGAACCACGGTCAGATGTCGATGATTGCGAGCACCTGCCTGTTCCAGGTCCCTCCAGGACCGTCGCAGCACATGCAGACCTTGAGCCGGTGTGGCAGCCAGGCCAGGTCTGTGAAGATCTTCAGCCGTTGAGTGTTCCGGGCCCCTTCAGCATCAAGCAAACAGCAGATGTGCCGAATGCAGATCCGGCCCGTCCAGAGTCCTCGATGGCCCTCACAGGTCATGTTGATACTGAGCTGGTGTTTCTGCCAGGCCAGGTCTGGGAAGATCCTCAGCCAATCAGTGTCCATGACCTCTCCAATATTAAGAACATGACGGATGCTGATTCGGCCTGTCCTGAGTCGCCTTCGTCTGTTCAAGACCCCTCTGATATTGATGGGACTGATGGTGAGTCATCCTGAATGTGGTTCATTTTATTTCTGCCGTCTGTTATTTTTTATGCTTTGTTGTTTTTAGCTTATAAATCAGACAGTGTCATTTGATGTACTGTTGGTTGTGTATTAATACAGTGCTAAACATATATGAGTGCACCCCCCACAAATCTCTCATTTAAATTCAGATTTTCTATAGGAGGCTTTATAATATTATATTTGTGCATGTACATTAGTTTAGTAAGAACTGAAGCCAAATCTGGAGCTTATTTAACAAAATAACTAAATAATGTTTCAAAAATTAGTAGCCCAAATGTATATGTTCAGGGAAAATATTAAATTAAATTTTCAAAATTAGCAAAAATCTAAGGGAAACAAAAATATTGACAATTTTGTTGAAATGTTGTAGTTTGTAAATTTTGCAATATTTTGCATGATATTAATTGTTTTTAATCTATTATCTTTCCATTTCTAAAGATGTTCTGTGACTAAATTATTATTTTAATAAATAAATCTGTTTGATAAATCTGTTTTGTTCAAATGCACCAATATATATTACCCAGATTCACTGAGAAATGGATAAAAATATAAATTTTCTAAAAGGGGTGTACTGCATATATGAATATGCTGAGCGCTGTAGCTGCAGCTCTGTTCATGGAGATGTTTCTGTTTGTTTTCTTCATTTTAGAAAAACCCAAGAAAGGAAGGAAAGGCAAAAGAGTCTCTGCTTTCTTCAAGAGAGTATGGAAGGCTGCAACGCGCCCTTTCCTGTGCTGTGACACAGATGTAGTCCAGCATCTTACACCACAACCTGAGCCTGAGCCTGAGCCTGAACCTGAACCTGAGCCTGAGCCTGAACCTGAGCCCGAGCCCGAGCCCGAGCCCGAGCCCGAGTCCGAGTTCGAGTTCGAGTCTGAGTCTGAGTCTGAGTCTGAGTCTGAGTCTGAGTCCGAGTCCGAGTCCGAGTCCGAGTCCGAGTCCGAGTCCGAGTCCGAGCCAGAGTCAGTTCTTGAAGAGCCTAAAGAGGCTTCTGGGCTCACTCTTGGTAAGTGATCATTTCCTTTTATTATTATAAATTAGTAATCAGTTTACTCCTGCAATTCTGATGGAAGTTTCTGCTTTCAGCTCATTGCATTAGATCCAGATTTAAAGGATTCGAGTCATTTATTTGATCTGTTTCATACCAGACAATCCAAGTAAATCTCCCTGCTGTTTTTCTGTGTTTCAGGATCTAGGGTGGGTCTTTTTGAAGTGAAAGAACTGATTGGAGAAGGAAGTTTTGGCAAGGTGTATCTGGGATCTCACGTATTTAATGAGAGAACAAAGGTAGAGAACTATTTTTCAAATTCAGTCAACATTTTCCTCCTGATTACTCAATATAAATCATTTGTCGGCTTTCATTTCATTTGTTGTTGTTTTTCCGCAGGTTGCCCTGAAGTACATCAAGAAGCGTGAACAGGACCGTTATCTCGACGTTGTAAGTTGAACAGTTTACACAAAAGTAAAAATGTGCTGATCATTTGCTCATCCTTCACTTGTCCCGTACCTGTCTGGACCACTTTAAACTGAACTCAAAAGCTGATATGTTGGAAACAGGGAGTCACTGACTTCCATTGTAGAAAAAGAAAATACTTATGAAGTCACTGCTTACTGGTTTATCAACATTCTTCAAAATATCTTCTTTTGTGTTCAGCGGAAGAAATAAACCCAGAGACTAGTTTTGAACACATAATTGTAGGGCTGTGGAGTTAATTAATATTCATTTAACATTAATGCAGATAAAAATGATCATTGCGTCATACACACAGACAGAACACACACATGTAGAGTCCTCTTTTAGCTTAAACTGCATGACTAAATGCTCAAATACAAGCAAACATGTGTCCAAACAGGAGCTTAGTGATTATTTACTTCATGAAGTTTTTGTTTCTGTACTTTGTGCCATTCTGCTTTGGTAATATCTTTGAAATCTGTTTTTTTTCTAGGATGGCCATTCCAAACCTGTGCTTGCAGAAGTGGCAATCATGCTTAAGTTGATGAAGGACCCACCTTGTCCCAGCATCATCACATTACACCACTGGATTAAGAATAAGAACGACTTCGTTCTCTTTCTGGAGTACGCCGAGTCATCCCAGAACTTGGCTTATTATCTCAGAAGTTCATTGGACATTGATGAAAACCACGCACGCCGGTTAATGCATCAGTTGATCCAAGCTGTCAAGTTCTGCGCTGAGCGTGGAGTTTTCCATGGAGATATCCACTCGGGGAACATCCTGGTGACTCAACCCCAATCAGAGCTCAAACTGATTGACTTTGGTTGTGCTCGGCTAATCACCAGCGAGCCTTTCAACAGCAGTGATTATCGAGGTGAGTGGGCATTTTGTGGGAGTTTCTTTGGTCACAGTATTGTCTTATGAAATGACTGAATTCTGAAAATGTCTCTCTTACAGGAGCCTTACTTTACACGCCGCCTGAGGTTCTGAGGGATCCCACATTCTTTCCTAACCCGGCATACGTCTGGACATTAGGCCTCATCCTGTATGAAATATTACATACACGATTGGCCTTTTACGACACGCATTCGATAATCATTGGAGACCTCCAGACAGACCTCACCTTATCTTTAGGTAAGCAGACTCTTCTGAACAATCTCAGCCTCAGTGACAGAATAAAATATGTCAGTCACGAATAGAAAAGGGTTCAATATAATGGTTACTGTAGATATTAAAGTCATTTCATTGTGAATGTTTTGTTATTTGATGTTGTAAGATTTAAACACGTTCATGAATCTTGAGTATGCAGACATATTTCACACTCTCTCTGTCACTTTTCAGATTGCCTGGACCTGATTTCCCAATGTTTGGTCCGCAATCCAGAGAAGCGACTGCAGTTACATCAGTTAGAAGAGCACCGGTGGTTCAATCCAACGAGCCCAAATCCTGTGCAGCAGTGAGACAAGAGGAGGTAGAGGAACACACCGAGCACAAAACTACATCTTCAGTCTTTCTTTGCTTCATGCTATTCCTGTTCTTTTCTCTTCTGCTCTTTTTAGAGTCACAAGTCTTATTTGACAGCCCTTCATATCACTGCTGAAATAACTTTGTGTTGTTTTTCTTCATTTTAGAAAACACTAAAGAAGCGAAGAGGAGAACAGCAGCATTTCCAGAAATTTCACAAGACTGTTAAAGTTATTAATTACTCCCTCATGTCATTCCAAACCCCTCAGACCTTACTTTTCAGTGTCAGTGTGTTGATGAGAGCTTTGTCCTGCACTGTATGTGTGTCCACTGCTGATGTTTACCTCAGATGTGCCCACGCTTTGTTTAAATGAGAGGAAGTCGCGCAGGCCTCTGGGTTAGTGACAATTAAACCACACTGAACTGAACTGAACTGAACTTTAACTCCAGTGCTGTCACAGTTTTCTCCTCTAAAGTGTCATCAAAGATCTGCTCAACTATTTTCTACCTCATTAATGAATCTGGTGTTCTGTCATAAGAGAGACTGATTGTTTTATAATTAAGTGTTCATGATTGTTTTGTAATGAATTGTTTTTTTAATTGTTTTGTGCTGAACTGCTTTTATGTATTGTTGGCTAATACGTCAAATAAAATCCTGTGAATCAAACTGAAGCTCTGATCATCATTTCTGTGAGTTTTCTAAATGACTCCTTACTCAATTAAAGAGAGAGTTCTCCCTCAACTATTTACTCACGTGTTTCTAAACCTATGAGGTTCTTTCCTCTGTTGAACACTGAAGAAGATACATATCTGAAAATCTGTAACCATTGATGTCCACAGTAGGAAAACAAATACAATGGATGTCAATAGTTACAGGTTTCCAGCATTTTTCAAAACATCTTCTTTTGTGTATAACAGAAGAAACTCATAGTAAGGGCTGAGTAAAAGATGACAGAATATTCATTATAGGGTGAAGCAATCTCTTTAACAAACCAGTAGTGCCATATACTGTGTTTACTATAATTTACTATGAGTCTGTTTAGCCAAATGGAAGCACAAGGAAGGTTTTACTGTTAGACAATATGTTGTTTTATATTACCGTATCATACTAACACAACAAATAGTGTACTGGGATGATCTTTTATTTAAACAGCAGAGTTTCAGACTGGACATTGTTAAACTGTAGTCTTAATTGACTAACAGTACACTGAGCAAAATAAAATCTCTGAAAATAGAAGTATAAATGTGTGCGATTGGACTCCAGTGTGCGATTGCAGCTTTTCTTTATCATGGTTAAAATGGTGAGTGAACATCACACAAGTGAACATTGTCAGATCTGTTGCTCATATATATTTGCCTCCTGGTACAGTCAAGATTGCAGACCAACTTTAGAGACTCCAAATTGTTCAAACTTTGACAATCCCAGTTTAAAGAACAGTTTAGACTTGAGGGTTGGAATTGAGAACCACTGTATAAATACTTGTTAGATGCCTTAGGACAGGGGTGTCAAACTCAGTTTCAAAAGGGCCGAAGCACTGCACAGTTTAGTTCCAACCCTGCTCCAACACACTTACCTGTAGGTTTCAAACAAGCCTGAAGGACTCAATTAGTTTGATCAGGTGTGTTTAATTAGGGTTGGAACTAAACTGTGCAGGGCTGCGGCCCTTTTGGAACTGAGTTTGACACCTGTGCCTTAGGAGGCCCTTGTTGGGTTCAGTGAACAGTATTGTGTTTTTGTCAGTGCGAATATTTTAATATTTTGTTAGTGTATTTTAAAAATCTAAAGCACATTCGTCCACAATAAACAACCTTTAATGAAATTAGAAGTTTCCAATGATGTTTAATAAGATTAAACAATATAATACTACACTAACACTAGAAAAAGAAAAACTACAAAAAACAATAAATAATTTGAATGTTTTATATGTTTATTTACTCTTTTTTACTTCTTGCGACTGTTTATACCTGTGATTTTAATATACTTTCTCTCATTTCTATTTTATTTTTTCAAAACGAGATGTGAGATGTACATATTTGTACTACGTTTGTACATATTTCATTACTATTTCATAATCAATGGGGAAAATGTCCAGCCTGAGCACCCGTCTGAGAACTTGGTCCTAATTTTTGTCGCTTGATCAACCCCGTATTCTACTATGCTGCATGCCTGATATACTGAATATGCCTCACACATCGACACATTCTTTGTATCTGTTACCTGTTTATCCTTAAAGGGTGACAGAAGTAAATGCTTGACTTGAGTTACGGGGGGCCGGCAGTGGGACCTCGCTGCGAGGGTTATGGTGGGTGGGAGTAGGGAGGCCCACTCATAGTCTATTTTAAACTATAGTTTGAAATAGACACCATGGTAACTGTTATGATTTAACTTTATGCAAAGAGCTTAGAATGACCAAGAGCAACAGCCCCGTTTTCCGATCGGCCGTCCATTGGATCTCATTGCTGTCGCGATGGAGCAGCTGCTTTGTTTTTATTAAATTTTTTCAAAAAGCGCGTTATTGTTTCCCAAATTGTAGAGTGTCACCTCTTGGTGATTCTATGCTCTTTGCTCTTTGTCTGACTGTTGTAATGTTTTGCTTTTGTTTTTCAGCTGAGCTGTTGAGCAAAGAAGGTCTATTGAAGACAACCGCGGTTTATATTCACGAGCGCGCGCATTATAATGTTTCCGGGTTGTTTTCTGAAAGTTTGTCTTGTTTGCATGTCAAACTAAATAAACTATACTCTTTCTAAACACCTGTCTCGTGTTTTATTTGTCCTCTACAGCAATGCACTGTCATGCAAGTCTGTTGAATGCATATGTATGCAACATGGTTTGACAATACAGGAGTCTAACAAATAAATGGTTGTTATAAATGTACTTTCATAAGTCAACATTTGGTGTAGGTAATGAAAAGTTAATCAAAGATGTTCTATGACATAAGGGTTATGTTATGGTTGTTTCATAACTATATTTATTATTATTCTGTATGTTTAAAACCAGCAAATTATACTATATATTTAACATGTCATGAACTTATGTTATTTAAAAAAATTGCTTA